GTTAACACTATTACTGTGCTAGAAAACCTGATCAGAGGAATAAAGATTATAATTGGTCCTAACTTCTCTATATGTAAGGAGACGCTTGGATGAAAGATAATGTGTGCTCTTAAGTGCAAATGTTGCCTTCTCAAGCCAACCAACAGAAAGTCAGGATAATGCCCACATTGCCCTACCAAATGATTTTTAAAGATTATTGCAGAGCTGCGTGTCAACCCACCAAACTTTAGGCTCACCTGATCAAAACCACCTGTATCTGCTTCCGTAATTACCTCTGGCTCTCAGACATCTAATTAAGTCCTGTAGCTAGAAATGACACAGAGAACATGCTTTGAAGGTGACCAGGAAAAAATGCTCACCCTGGCCATGACATCACCATCTGGCACTGTCAGAAGTCGGCCTTCAGGATGTCCTGGCCTGGGCCTCCACCCCAGCACAGAGCAAGCCCGCCATGACGCAGACCCACAGGGCCAGGCCTGGTCCACAGCAGAACGCATTTATTGCATTAGGTTCATTTTGGGTATTTCACGTGTGGGAACCCTAATCAGAGTACGCCAGACGTTCAAGGCCAAGTTGTCCTACGCAGGTGCAAAAGCAAGGACACAGCAATCGTACTGTACGCACTGCGCAGGTGTGCTCTCTATAACCCAGACATTGGTGTCACTACTTGGCAAGAAGCCTCTTTTGTCTAAGTTGGTATAAAGATGTGTTGTTGACCAGCTGGTGCAAAGCTGCTCCGATAGCTCCTGTTTACAGCTGCTTTGTGAGGCTACTTGGAAGAACTGTTTTGTCTGATGGCTCCTTGTTAGCAATGGCTACTTGGTCTGCAATAAAGCCTCTACATATGCCTAGGACTGCTCATGTCTTCTCCGTCTAATGCCCGGCCTCCAAGGACCTGTGCTCCCACAGTTGCGCAGTCAAGCAGGATCGAGGAGGAACCTGCTCCCACAATGTGGTTTCAGTTACACTGAGCAAACTCGGGGTGGGTTTGGTGGTGAGCTGTCACAGGAAAGGTAATTCTGTCTGCATACGAACCTGAGTCCCAGCTATTCAAAACACAATAGACTCTTTGCTAAGCCAGAAGAAAGATCATCTCTCATCCCATATGGTAAATTTAAACTATTAATAGGTATTTTAATTCCTTTTTTTGTCCTCTGCAGTGTATGATTTGGAAAATGAGTTTTTATTTATTAATATGCGGCATGTTTTAAATCCAGGATGATCGAAATACAGTGCTTTGCTGTAACAAGATCCTTATAGTCCACTTCCATGCCATTGAGTGAGCAGTAGGAACACGCCTCCTTTCGTGTTTCTATGCTCTCTTCCCCCAGGAAGAAGCTGAGAGCAGCCATTTTCAAAATAAGAATTGGCGCTATTTCCTACAATGTAGTGAAGCAGCAAACAGTAGAAATTTTGTGACTGTTTTCACAGACACTGTCTATAAAAGGGTGAGTTTAGACCATATGTTTGGGAAAACAAGAAATCTAGAGTAAATTAATGTTTTAAAGTCAGTCAGTATTTGTGTGACTGATTAATTAAAAGTAATTCCTAGTGTGAAATGATGTGTTACCTTGAGCCCATCTGCTGGCCAGCGGTGTAGACTGCACTACCGGTTGTGTATACATCTGGTGCTTGCATGCGGCCGTGAAAGACTAGGCTTGTGGTTTACCTCTGAGCTGTGCGCTGCGGGTTGGAATTTTCAAGCACTTCAGGATTCTGCTTTAAAACACACAGAATACAAAAGAATGGCTTCTAAAATGTAACAATTAGAATAAATAACATTTCATTACAATTTTAAAGGGATTTTAATAAAATGATTATCATGTAATTGGCAAATTTTCCAGGGAAAAGAAATTTAGGACTAAAAAGGGGTTATTTATTTATTTATTTTTAGATCTAAGCCCGATTCTCAGCTTGGTGCCTTATACACTACTAGGCCCTTCCGAGCCGGCTCCCAGCTCTGGGCGCTGCTCGCACGCACGCCTCCCTGTGGGTGCAGCGCCCAGTTCAAGAGTCCCAGAGGCCGCGTGAGCCCCAGGGGGTCCATCCAGCGAGCCGCCGGCCTGAAATGCCCCAGCCCTTGGACCTCTCAGTGTCTCAGGACGTGTCCTCAGGAGGAAACGTCTTCTTAGTGTCTGAGCTCCAGAGAACCCAGCCCCGCCGTGCCCTCTGCCAGGGCCCACGGGCGGGCGGCAGGACGTGCTCCACACTCACCAGGCCTTTCTAACCTCCCCGAGCTGTGCCCAGACCAGGCGCCGGGGTGCCACTCACACCGCTTCCAGAATCCCCCCGGAGGCCACACCCTTAGAGTCACCGGCCTTCCGGATCGTGCCCCCCCTCCCTCTCCCAGGGCCAGGACCCCCCACTCCTACCCCCACCCTGTGCCCACCTCTGGCTCCTGCTCCACACCGGGCTGCTCCCTCTCGGCCTCCACACCTCCTGCCGCAGCCAGAGCATCTCTAAACATCACCGCCCATGGAGCAGCCGGCAGGACCCTCAGTGGCCCTCCCTCACCTGCCAGAGAAGCTCCCGCTGAGTAGGGGAGCCCTTCAGACCCACCCGCCATTTTCCATCCTGTGTGCCTTACAGACACGGCCCTCAGAGCCCGGTCCCCGGGGCAGGGCAGGCCTGGGCGCCCGTGAGTAACACGCAGCGCAGGGGGCAGAGACCACTGCCTCCAGCCCCTCCATGTGCCCCAGGCCTAACCTGCCAGGCCTGGTCCAGGAGCCTGAGCCGAGACGGGAACGCGCTCGGTACCCTGGGCCAGGCTTCGTGCTCCCTCTGGATTTCGCTCAGGCCTCTGGGCAGAGGGCCGCCCCGCCCCCTGCTCACAGCACCTACCACTGTGGCTGGAGGCTGAAGCACTGCCACTTCCTTTATAAACTCTGCAGGAGGCCCCACACCTCTGAAGTACGACTCCATGTAGGAGGGTTACAGATGTTACTCCGAAGGATTTAAACAAGTCCACACGGACTGTGACTGAGCAGATTTCATTTCCCTGAGGTCATATTCCATCGGATCCGAACCCTGTCGGTCCCAGCAGTGGTTTTCACAGGGCACACAGAGCACACAGAGCACACAGGGCACACAGGGCACACAGAACACACAGAGCCGTGGGCGTCCTGCGGAAGGCCCCGCAGGTCGGACGGAGGTGGGCACGTTCCAGGGGTCCTGGCACTGCTGGTCCCCAGAACACACCCTCACAGCAGCAGCACGTTCGACCACTTAAGAGGAGCTGTAAGACCATGTTTATCTAAAAATCATCACGTGAACGAGACTCTGATCCCCAGGGCAGCAGTCTCTCTCCAAGGTCGTCTCTTTTCAGTGTTTCCATGGATCCGAGTACCTGTAAAGCCTCATTAGTTTAGAGGCTTGTATTTAACTTCAAAAATAAAGTGCTTTGGTTTTAAAAATAAAAGCAAGGCTATCTTTCAGCTTCTAAGAAACCTGCTCCTTCTGAGAGTGGAGAAAAGACCATCTCTGGGGAAATCCTCCTTCAGTACAGAACGCTTGGCTGGTCACCGCCTTCCCGTCCAGCCTGCATGGCGAGCTGGCCGCTCCAGGGGAGGCCACTGTCCATCACAGTGCGCTCTCCTCCAGCACCGGGCACTTGCACAGCAGATCGGCGTGACGACACTTAGTGAAAAGTTCACCTTTCCCTTGCAGTTAGGGAGGAGAAAGGTCAATCCTCACATGCCAATTGGTTCTTTAGCATAAAAATTTGAGTTTCCCCACATCCCAGTTCTGAACCTACAGAAATATTTTTCTGCTTTACCTATAATAATAAGTCATAAAAGTAAGTGTGTTAAAACCTTATTCACAGTTCTCTGTGCGTGGGGGTGGAAGCAGGACTTACTGTACACCCTGGTGGACTGAACGAGAAGACTGACTTGGGTCATTTGTGTGAGGAAAGAGAGGGAGCCCTACCTGACTTCATTAGTGACTGCTGTCAACCAAACAGGAAGTGCCCACCAGCGCCTTCCTCCGAGCCCTGCGAGCCCCCCTGGGCCCTCACCCCTTGGGCACTGATCTTGGGATGGCAGCCCAGTCTAGGCCCCGGAAAAGGCTCACCAAACCGTGTCCCTGGAGAAAAACAGCTCTTCCGTTCACAGCTGTGACAGCAAAACAAAGGAAATGACCTTCAACACAAGACGCTGCAGAATTAAGTCCCCCGAGAAGGCGTGACGCCTGCCACTCTGATTCTGCACCCGTGTCAGGGGCTACGGTGCCGAGAGCTGGGGAAGTGCAGTCCAATAAGGGGAGAGTTAGCGCCTAATAAAGGCAGCCACGTCTCTCTGGGTTTTACTCTAAAACCAGCCTGTCTCAGAGCTCCTTTCTCTGCCTCCACGAGGAACTGCACGAGGTACTTACCGAATGCAGATGTCTGGCCTCACCGGGCCTCGGATCAGTCTCTAGGGGTGAGGCTGGCCTCTGACTCTTAACCAGGTCCCAGGTGGAACCAGCGTCCATAACCTTGTTCTGACTTGAATGACAGACCGGCTTTCAGCAGCTCCTTCAGTCTCCAGGGTCAGACAGAAGAAAAGCCCCTCTTCGCTCACACAATGAACAGGCGCCTGTGTCCCGGCTGACCGCAGTCTGCTTTTATTGAGGGAAACCCGTGGGCCTCTGCCCTTGCACAGGTTCTTCTCCCATCACTGCTTTCCTTCCCCTGGATGGGCTCTGATCGTCCCACAGGCCTAGGCGCGGAGCTGGAGGCTGTCCTGGAGGAGCCGCATGGAAGTGTCCCACTTAGACACTCACCCTTCCCAACGCACCCTCTCGCCTGGCCTCTCCCCACTCACACTCTCGGATTCCGCTTGTGTTGTCCAAATCCATTCTATTCACGTTTTAATCTGCCGCTCCCGTCACCATCATAGCGAGGTTTGTTCAGCAACATTATGAGAACAGCCACCAACGCTAACGCCGCCCCCAGACTGGGGGGGCCACAAGGGCTGAACTCCTGGGCAACTCCGGAGAGGAGGGGGGCCATGACCCGGCCCACGGCCGTCACTGACTGCCCCACGCCTATGAGGGTGCCCCTGGCCTGGGCCCCGCCCGCAGCTAGCTGGAGGTCTGTGATGCACGTCCTGCCGAGGGCCGTGGAGAAGGACAGCAGCATGGAGGGGACGACTGCGGCGCCCAGGGTGGGGGCCGTGGAGTAGAGCAGCAGCAGCAGGAAGGTGAGTGCGCTGGAGTGCAGCAGCAGCCTGGGGGAGTTGTGCCTGTACAGCCGCAGGACGGGCCCCAGGACCAGGCCGGCCAGGACCCCCACGGCGCTGCTGTAGCTGATGAGGTAGCCCGTCACCTTGGGTCGCACCCCGAAGCGCTCCTCGAGGGCCAAGACAAAGTTGCTATAGTACAGCATGACCGCCACGGCCATGAGCAAGCGCACCAGAAACACGTCCCACATCTCAGAGAACACCAGGCTCTTCAGGCCCCGCAGTGCGGCCACACCCTCCGCCCAGGGCCCACGGGCCTTCTCGCCCTCCACGCTCCCAGGCCCGAGGCTCGCCTCCTGCACGGCACAGTCTGTCTTGCCCAAAGGTGCATGGTTCTCACCCAATCGCAGGCTGCTCTCTGTACTATGGACACTCACTTCACTCCATGGAAACAGCCAGACGAGACCTGTTGAAATGCACGTCTGTTAAAGTGGGTGGCTTCACGGTCACACACGCCTCCCACGGGGCCAGGCAATGACTGCATTAGGTTATATTGCACTTTTTTATTAGCAGATTTACTCATCTGTATTCTTGAATCCAGTTTTTAACCATTCCCACAGCTACTTCTACTCCATATTAATACCAGAATTCTGAAATTCGCCTTAAGGAAAAATCTATGCCTAAGTAATACTCACCGTTTTCCCCAGCTCAAGAGCCTATGAGGGCTTCCTATATCCCACCATTTCATATCTAAATTCTTAGCCTTTACACTTAAGTTCTTCCCTCACTACTTTGCTAATTCTCTGACTATCCACCATCTGACCACCCACCCAACACTGAATAGTCAGGCTTCTAAATGCTGAACCCCGTGCTAGCCACTACATTCACACACAAGGCAAGGCCTGTACAATCCCTGTCCCCAAGGAACTTAAACCTGAGGGGGTGCGGACATGCAGACGGGCAATTCGATTCCAGGGTAAGCGCTATGCTGGGGGGCAGAGGGTGCTAGGCCAGCCGCCCTGGCAGGGCGTGGCCGGGGTTCCCGCACCAACGGCCCGTCAGGAAGCACCTGCAGGATCTGCGCTTTGGCAAGTCTCACGTCGCAACCTCTGGGGGCACCATTCCCATCGCCCATGACACCCCTCACCCGCAGCTTTGTCCCTGCTCAGACAATGCCCTCTGCCCCCAGGGGACAGGCACGGTCTCGCCTCCGCTGTTATGATCCATGCCGTCCACGTACAATGACTGCGTGCCAATCCCTGCCCTGAGTTTTCTTAAAACTGAACCCGTTTCCTAACTCATCCCTGTGGTTTTCAGTCCTTTGGCACAAGTCCCACCGGCCCGTGGCCGCCGGTCAGGGCTGCTTCCTGCTGTGCCCAAGCTCTGCCTGCGCGTGTGCATCCTCCAAACACAGTGTAAGGGGCCTATTAGCCAGGCACTGGTTTAGGACAGAAAGCTGGTCACGTGAGAAAGCAGGCCTGGACTTTCCCTCGCTCTCATTTATGACAGTTCCCTTGGACAGCTCACGGAACTGGATAAGACGTGAAAGAACTGTCGCTAAGGGACTAAAAGAGAAGTATAATTACGTAATAATAAAAATGAGGATGACAGCAACTGGCATTTACTGGGTGGTTACCATGTGCACCGCAGGGGGGTAAACTGCTTCTGTGCAAACCTCCACTCGTTCTCACAACACGTCCACCTGGGCTGTTTCTCCAGCTCCGATGACGAGGAGACGGAGACAACCAGCTGAGGCCCGCACTGAACGGGGCCGGGCGGGGACGGCACCCAATCTCAGACCAGAGCCTGAGTTCTGACCCAGGAGAAAACAGTCATGGTCAGGGAAGTGGCAGATCAGAGCAAGGACATAAGAAGGGGTCGGGTTGAGGAAAATGGCCGTCATTGAGGACAAAAGTATGACAAAACAGATTGAGACGACAGCCATACTCTGCTCACCGCCCTGGAAGGCCCAGCGCACTGTGCAACACTCTCTGTGTCCCCTCTCCCTCCTCCCTGCATGTCTCTGTGGGCACTGTGTCCCCTCTCCCTCCTCCCCTGTATGTCTCTGTGGGCACTGTGTCCCCTCTCCCTCCTCCCTGCATGTCTCTGTGGGCACTGTGTCC